CTCTCTCTCTCTCTCGCTCGCGCATTGCCATGGTCGAACAATTCTTTTGCTGTTTGAACTTGTCGAACGACGCGACAAGCTCTGTCTTTTATTTCTGTCACAGAACTCTGTACTCGCCGGAACGTGCACTTAGCGTTCGAAGCATCAGTCGAGAAAAAAATATTTTCCAAGTGGGTAACATTGTCTCTCTCGGTGCGATCTACTATACGTGTATACATAAATCATCTAAAGTAGACCTCGGTCTTTATATATAAAAGTATATACTTATACGACATATATACGTTTTATGTATAAAGGACTTAATTTATGTATTTCACAAAGGAAAATATACTTAACTATAATGAACACTAAACTTTCGAGACCAATCCTTTAACGTCCACACACGGTTAAAAGGCAAGACTGTTCCCTTGAATGTTCTCTCCCGACTGATTTTCGTATAAGAATTATATAGGAAAGCGCATTTTCCAATGTGTACAAAGTTCAGTGATTTCCGCCTTTGTCGCGCTCCTCTGCAACGCACTTCTCTCTCTCCCTCTCGGATAACATTTTCGTACTAATAAGGTGAGCTCGTGACACACATGACACGACTCCTTTCGCTTTCTCGCGAGCGTAAAACATTTGTAAAAACGAGTCTCGTGTCACGAGCCTCCCTTAGTGGTGCGCAACAATAGGAGGGCTGACCGCAGGACGCGACGTATCCTCGAACAGCGGCGAGACGTCATTTCTAGCGTGATTTCACTCATTCAATTTGATTCGCGACTTTGCTGCCGTCAGTGTTCCCGAAATTCTCTGATCGGCGCTCCTAGCAACACGGAGCGCAGCTCTTTTCTTCGATTAATAAAAACTTGTTAAAGAATCGAGGAAACTGGCGAAATACGATTGCACTCGTATGCAATTATTCGGACGCAAAGTCGCGAGTCAAATTGATCGGACAGACCCATGCCGGAGATGACTCGAGGAAAGGAAGAGATAAGGGGGGGGGGGGGCAAAATTAGGATCGAATGGTCGAAAGACTTACAGGGTGGATTTCGCGAGAGGGACATTGGCGAAGCCCTCGACCTCCCTTCCACCGCGAGGGACTAGACATACCGATCTTATCAACAGTGTACAATTATAATTACAGCATAGAAACGAAAACTTTTAAAAGGGGGATACCGCTTTTGACCCCTGCTTGCAACCGCTCCGCTCCGCGTCACAATTTCGCCGGAGGGAGGACGCGAGTTATTTTGGAACACCTTGGGAAATCACATTGCGCCTGAGAGAGAGCGAGAGCGAGAGCGTGCGCGCGCGCAAGAGAGAGAAAGAGTAAGAGAGAGAAAGAAAGAGAGTCCTTTCCACCGCCAAATTCGCCGACAAGGACGAATAGAGTGGCTCGGCTGTGTTACCCAAATCGGTAGAATCGGTGGAATCGGCGGACGCGATCGTTCCTCGGCACGGCTCAACGTGACTAGATTAATTGGCAGCGGCCGGCTTGATCTCGCACTTTAATTTTGTAAGCTGCAGATCATTTGGCCGATTGTCTCACCGTCCGAAAGCCCGTCGTGATAACGAGAAATCATGATGGGATTGGAAGCGCGCGAAGCGAAAAGATTGCGGACACGTTCAGAGAAATAGTTCAGTTTTCGAGAAAAGAGAAAGAATTCAATCCCATTAACTATCCCGCTTATGACACGCTGTTTCTTGACTGTGAAAAGCTCGGCTGTATCTTCAGTTTTGTTCTTTTGTAGCCGTGCGGACTTGCAGCTCTAATTAACCGTTAGTCTCCGCTTCCGACACATTTCCATTATCTTATTGCCTCCTTCGCTTGTATCTCGCGATGGACTTTGAAACATTACGGTCTCGATTCGCCGCGGAGTCTGCTGATGCCGCACACTGCGACAATCGCGGACGACGTCGCGATCAAGCCAGCGCCTCGTGTTACGGTGAGATTGCTGAGAATGGAATTTTATTTGCGCCAAGAATTCGATAAAAATTATTTACGAAATTCACTCAGTTCGATAGCGCCTAAAGCGCTCAAAGCGGACGATTTGCTAAACAATTTATTGGTATTAAAAAAATGTAATTGTGACTTTTAAATCGCTTAAAATAGCAATCTCGAAGATTGAACCGTGAACTCGGATGGGCAAAAGGATATTTTATTTGCGATCACTCCCATTACTCTCTTTTCTCTCTTTCTTTTTTTCTCCTTTTTTCTTTCTCGCTCGCTCGCTCTCTTTCTCTACCTCTCACTCTCACTCACACGCACACACGCACTCACATACGCACACACGCACGCACGCACACACACCCGCACACACACACACACACACTCTCTCTCGTGTCGAAAGGCCACGATTATACTCATACGTCTCGCACCTCTCATCAAATCCCAATTAACAAATTGCTAGATATATCACGATGTCTGATAGCGATAATAGTAATCGACAATAGCTTGCTAAAATTTTCACTTCGCCTAGAACTTATCGTCTAAAATATCTCGCGCTCGCGTCGTCGTGTTTAAAATTCAATCTAAGTCGACGACGTCGCAAATTTAACCAAAACTTGCACAGGACCCATCGAATTATACATTTCCTTTTCTCGAATCCACTTCTGTTCCGCGCTCGCCTCCACGTTTCATCTTCCACGCTTGTCCATAATCCACCTGTCCCCCCGACCACGCATACACGATTTGTTTTTTTCCTATTGCATGCAAGAAAAAAAGTTAACGCGCGCGCGAGACAACGGGATCGTGATCAACGGAAGATGATACGAAGGGGCAGTACAGAAGTGAGAATGCGAAAAGAAAGAGAAAAAAAGAAACATCTTTGCCAATATTCCTTCTTGATCGCTTCGCTCCGCACACGCGCGTTAATTTCTTTACATACGATACAATTAAACCTCGTCGCCTAATATTGCATGCGCGTGAACACATCTCAAAGGTGAAACAGAAAGACGATATTTTTCTCCCCCGACTCGCCACACAGCGACACAATGAACATGAAACGAAACAACGTCGCCGTGCGGGCGTAATTGCCCGGACACTTTCACGAAGATAAAAATTTACAATTTTCCTCTGTCTCAGGAAGAATTTGTTAACGATGATTAGGACCTCGCCGTCAGGATAATACACTTTCACGCACGCCGAATGCTGAATCTTGCGTCGAGCGATTTGACGAAGTCGCGCCGCGAACACGCACGGGGCGGTGGTATAATGAGAATTTTGTGCACCTAATGGAAACCCAAACGGATGTCTAATGGCGCGTCAACCCGGCATTGCCTCGGAAACGAAGCGGAAGCTCGCGAAATTAACGCCAACAAAAGCGCACGCGAGAGATTATTCCGCTCCACGCGTGCCATCTTTCCCTCCTATCTCGCGCATTCCTCGTACGCCACGCACGATCCGTAATCACAAAGGGAAACGTATCGGTATAATTTCATTGCAATTTCTCCCTGCGTCGCGGACCCTTAAGAAATACAATAATAATTGGTGACTTCTCATGAAATAATCGAGTGATTCGCTCCGTCCCGAAACTGAGATTCAAAGTTGACCAGGCGTTCCCGCGCCATAGTGTACAAGTTTGATCTTGAAAATTTAATTCAACGTCCATATCTTACGAGAAACAACGCTAGAATTACTTTAAAAGGAATAAATTGTGAGATTAAAAAAAAATTACGCGATGGTTCAATGATTTAGTAAACCATGCGCAAACGATTGGCGATATGTTCTCGAAATTTAAGATTTATTATCAAACTTTGAGAACAAAATAGGCTGAAACGTATGTTCACTTACGAAGCTACAAACGCGTCATCAAACTTGAATCCTCGTTCGTACAGAACTCGTCCTATTTTGTCAAAACTGAGGCCTTATCTATTTGAATAATAATAAAGATAGCATTATGTCGGACACAGGGCGAGCCATTCGGAACGCGAAAGGGATGCGCATTCTCATAGATTTGCATTGCAAATGTACTCTTGTATGCACGCCGCCATTACAAACGTACTCCGTCTGCAAAACAAATGTTTATCGAACAAATAACGATCATTCGATTCTTCCTCGATGCACGAATGCACTACGGTCGATCGTTAATTAACCGGTTGCATTAACGTCGATTGGATTGAACTCATTATATTGACGAACTAAATTTCCCTCCCTTCCTCCGTTATATTTACACGAATAACTTAGTGAGAGATAGGCAATTGCTAACAGCAAGAATTAGTTAACCAGAAATATCGATGTAACCGTGCCGAGCAATCGCGTTTATGTTTCCTCCTTGTATATTACAATGTAATTCTAATCTAAAGATAAAGAACATATACGATTAATGCAATGCTGATTGGAGGAACCATCGATCCTTTCCATTCCAGCTACTTGAGTTGCAAGAAATTTCGAAACTCTTACTTTATTCTAGAAATTACGCATCGGTGTAACGCGATGACAGACGAGACCATCGGTGCTAACTCTCTCTCTCTCTTTTTTTAGCTTTTTAAATAAATTATCAGTACATCGATTTGCTACTTATAACGATTATGATTGAACATGTAATGATTACGAACACATAATCTTTAAAATAAACAAGAGATCGACAAATTTCCCTTATAATTATCTCTAATCCTTATGCCGGAAAAGATTCGACGTTTGTTGATTGCTTCAAGTACGCATAGCATTCGAGGTAGAAACACATTCGACTTTGACTTTGCCAGAAGAATATACATTTGTCGGAGGTGCGTGCGCGTCCCATTATAGTTTCGTACGGCCGGCCATCTCGTGTTTTTAATGGTATGCGTGTTTGTAACGTATGTTTGATGTTTTACTTTTAAATCGGTATGTAGCATATCGTTTTTTTTTTAGTCGTAATAAGTATATTGATATTGAACTACCTAGCCTAATATGTACAGAGTTCCCGTTTTCACTCTTGGCACTACATTATCCCCCTACGCAACTTCTCACACGCATACACAAACACGCGCGAGCGCGCGCGGGTCCCGCTCTTCTGTCTTTTTTTCTCTCCTTTCCTCCTTTCCTCTCGACCCTGCAATTAGCCGCGCCTCCTGCGCGTCTTTCGTTCTACTCGTTCCGCACACGCGCGCTTGCATTTACTCGTACGCACGCCTGGTCTCGCACTCACGCAACCGAACGAATTCGCTCATACAACTCATGTCCCGTTCGTCCGTTTTTTTTCCCCTCCTTCTTCTTTTTCCTCCGCAACCACCATCGCGTGAAACCACACTCTTGCCCCGTCCGGCCGTCGCGCAGCAGCCGCCCGTCGCGAATAAAATGTTATATCGATAATAAATAATTTACTAAGTCTTCGTCGCGATGAACAAACTTCCGCGATGTCCGACGATCGAGTCTCCGATCGAGAGCTGGAAGAGGGTGACCGGCGGATCCGCTTCGTCGCCGAATCGGTGTCGCGAATCCCGCACCTGTTTCTCCTCGAAGTGAAGCTTCTCGCCGTTCCAAGTTCCCGGACAGGGATGCCCCTCGTCCCAGGGTAGGCCATCGCTTTGCGTAGCGCGTTGGTTACGCCGTTCTCGACCGCCCCCGTCCATTTTGCGCTCTCCTTCCCGTCTCCTCTTCATGCCCGACGCAACATCGTAATCCTCGTGCCACCGCTTTGAAATAATCTGAGATCTAGGCTAGACACTGGCCGCGTGTGGAATTGCACAATGAGACGCGTCAATAGCGGCGGCGGCGACGGCGTATCGATTCTCCCGGTCGAAGGAAAAAAAATAGAGGACAGGCGCGGACCAACGCGCACGGCGATTGAGCGCAGTCTTGATGACTGATTTGACTTTTTAGTCACTACCAGGAGCCGGCTTCTTTACATTTCCGCCGGCCCTCCTTTAGGCCACGAACGGACGACCCTCTCTCTCTCGCTTTCTCTCTCTCTCATTCTCTCACTCTCACACTCTCTCTTTCTCTCTCTCTCATTATAGAAGAACGCCAGAAGAACGATCCAACGAGGATACCACCGGCCGGGAAGATATTATATTCTCTCGCGTATATACGATACACGTTGCTGAACACGATGGAACACGGCCGATGGAATTTATCCTATGTTGAAGCTTCTCCCGTGAGTCAGTCTTGAAGGGCATCGTCGTTGCCGTTGCAGTCGCGCAGAACGATCTTGAGAACCATCGCTCGTTTTCGAGGTCGGACGATGCGGCTGCGACGATGACGATAACAGCGTCAAGGAAGGAGGACGCCGCGGATCAAACCTTCTGATGGAATTGCTGCTGCTGGGGTTGCTGTTGAAGCTGCTGCTGTTGCTGCGGTTGTTGCTGCTGCTGCTGCTGCTGCTGCTGCTGCTCTTGCCGGCTTTCGTCGGTTTCGCAGGGCACCACGGTGATGTTGGACAGATTGCTACTGCTCAGATTACTGCTCACGTTACTACTGGACTCGGAATAACTAGAAAAGGGCGGTTTGTTGACCGGCATCGACGTCGACGATGGCGTCGTATGGCTCGGGAACATCTTGAACATCGAGCGTGCGGTGTTCAACAACAAGTTGCTGCTGCTGGGGCTTTGACTCCGCGTCACCCGATCGCCGGGCATGTCGAGCAGCCCCGAGTGGAGGTGCTGGCTGCTACTTGGCGTCCGATAAGGCGGCGGACTCTCGCTATCGAACACCGTGCGATTCGGCGGCGCCCGCACGCACTTCTGATAAATCTCGCTCTCCTGGAAACAAGAAAGTTCGCTATAGTCGAGCGTACGAAGTTTTATATTGGACGCACGAATCCCTTGCGTGTTATTTGATCGCGAATTATGTTGAAACGAATAAAAGTCACGTTTTTTATATACAAAAACGTGCAGAATTTTCTTGCAAAGAGGATGACACAAAAGTGAAAACTCACGATGAAACGGTAATCGTGAAAGAAGTAAAAAAGATACGCGCTCTCAAGAACTATAGAAAATTAACAAAGTCATGAATTGTTAATTTATATAAAATGTTCGAGCGCATAAATTTACTTAATCAAGTTGCAATGTGTTTATTTACAAAGAACTAATTTATCGTAAGAGTGTCAAGAAGTTTACTTTTCATTTCCGAGAACAAGATGTTCAGCATAGACTTTCTAAACGTAAAATTTATAACTTAACATCAAGCGATCAATTGTAATTTGGGATTTTCAGCAAGTAATTAATTTTTTACTCTCCCACTTTACATATCGTTTCTAGAATGTAAATCTGTATTGCAGTTACGGTGATTGCCTTAAGTCCGGCCGTGCTTCAAGCGGTTTGAAGTTTAATATTCCTGCTTGCGTAATGATGACGAGGCGTAATGAGTACTTGAACCTGAGAATTCGCGGAGGGGCAGGAAGCGAATAAATAAATATGTTTTTCGGTCATTCTCCCGGGCGCGAGGCAACGCACGGCAGAGACAGTGCGTCGACATACTCGTACTATAAATATAATTTTACAGCGTTAAACTTGTGACAAAGACAAGGGACCCGGCAGTGTTCACCCGGTGAAAAAACTAAGCTACTTGGAGAATAATATGCCTCGCTTGAGAACAATGACATTGAAGTTCCGTACAACTTGGAGCGATATTCCGTGGGTGAAAGTACCAACTGCAAATTCTGGAGAAACTCCAGTCGTAAACGTGAAATAAAAATCGGCAGCAAAGAGAGAGATCTGTTCGAATGTATTTCGATCCGAAGTTGCGCCGTGACTGTCTCCGCGCCTCTCACCTGCTCTGGGTTGCGGAGGTGAAGATCCGGGTGCGCCCCGTACGGGTGCTCCTCCCCGTCCGGGAGCTCGAGTCGCGGCGGCAGGTTGAGGGCGAGATCATGCCGTACGCTCTCCGCGCGGATCGCGCGATCCCTCGCCGCGGCGATCATCACCGCCTGGAGATCTCGACGCCTCCTGGCTTCATCGCCGTCGCCACCGCCGCCGCCACCGACTCCACCGCCGACCGCACCGGCGGTCGGGTCATCTTCCGCCGATGCACCGCGTCCGCTGCTGCCGACCTCCATTCCTTGGCTCACCGACAGCATCTGCAAAATCGACGATCATGTTCACGTCCTCGGGAATTGCACAGAGTTGCATGGTACGAATGGCGAACGTGGCGAAAATATTATGTGCAAAAATAGTAATTCGGGATTCCGGAAATTTCAAACAAAAGGACTGATAAGCCCGAGCTTATTATAGATGTGTCAGATATATATAACAAAGTTAATTACACATAATATAAGCAGTTTCTTCGATCTGAAATGAATTTATCTTCAGTGTCACAACGGCAGAGACGATAAATACTTAGATAAGTCGCCAAAGTCTGGTCAAGATTATAAGAAAATCACGACACTCCGCTCCTGTAATTTCCGGCGGTAAAATGAGCGCGTTGATCGGATAAAAACCTGTCTAGAGTCTCTCGATATAAGAATAAGAACAGTACTTCTCGCTCTCATGCTCCGAATTTTATATAACGAAGCAAAAACTCTGAGAACAATAGACCAACGCCGGAAGCAATAAAAGGAAATTTGTCTATGTCAGTCACAAGTTGGAAAATAAAATGAGTTTCCTTGCACAATTCCTGGCTGCTGTCAATCTGCGCGGATCGTGACGGGATTATTATCGTTCTATTTGCTGCAGATAAAAAGGAATTGCTGGCCGAAAGTTATTGTTTTCAGAAACCCTTTGTTGACGACGCGTGATTTGATAAATCGCGTCTCGCGATTATTTCATCCCGAATGCTTCGGGATCAAAGATAAAAGAAAAAAAAACTAGAAGTTTTGTTCAATTCCGGCGGAAGATGTACGTGTGACAAAAATACGAAGAACGGCTGTCCGCCGTGCCGTGATAAAGCGCCATACGTATGGTGACTGCTATTATCCGGCGCCGAGGAAAGGGTCGCGATCGTGAGCCCTCGACTGTATGGTCGTGAATAAATTAGTGCAGAAAATGAAATTGCTCGACCATTCGATCAGGAGAGCGCCCGCTGTATGTACGTGGATATAGATATTAGTGCTGTGCCATTGCACTCGGTTCACGTAAATAATTGCATATAAATCATATCATTATATCCGCAGGATTAATTTCTCTGTGATGTTGATTATTCATATAATCCAACGGACATTCAAAATACTTTGATTCGTGATCGCTGCCGTCGTGAAACAGCGCATTGCTCCAAACGAAAATGATTAATGCGCGCGCATGATAAATACGTGTACAAATGCGCATTTTATGGGGAATATAAAAAGGGACAAGGCTACTCGCGTTTGCAGAGTTGATTTTAAACAACATATTATATTGATCGTAGGGCTAGATTAGTCTTGAATGCAACGCTGTAAGGTTCATATAACGCAAATTATACAGGGTGTCCCAGGAGGAAAGGTCAATATTCTGGGAGGTGATAGTATCGGTCATTTGAAGCAAAAATGTCCATATGAATATATGTTCGATTCCCCACTGTTTCCGAGATAGAGCTACTTGAATGCTTCGTGTATTTACTTTTTTCTGTATACTTCATCCTTCATCCAACTTCGTAAACGTCTGCGGAAATTTACTCTTACACGTCCGTTGTATTCACAAATGTCGAACGAGCAACACAAGAGTTGAAAAACGCATTGTTGTTAACGGTTTTGAAAATTTATTATGATCTGTAAAAATGTATCACTTGAACAACAAATATTAGAAATAGTAGTACTTCTTTCTTGTCAGTAATTTTGCGATTGTACATTCAAATAGCTCTCTATCTCGGAAACAGTGGGGAATTGGACATATATTCATATGAACAGTTTTGCTTAAAATGACGGATACTATCACCCCCCAGAATATTGACCTTTCTTCCTGGAACACCCTGTATACTCGCGAATTCAAGAATTATGCAAGTGACTTCGGCAATATTCTCGACCAGGTTCCTCTGTAAGTTATTTAGAATTAACCAAGGCTTCAATTATCTATCTTTTCCATACATTCTGCGCGATTCTAAGTTCTCTGATACAACTCCGAGACTATAATCCCGATAATTGTGTTAAATCCCGATCAGCCGAACCCGATCGGTTTCTCTTACTTCCAGCGAAAATTTCTCCGCTCGTTCCCTTCGCGGATCCGGTTTAAAACATCTGCTCACGCACGCACGCATGCACGCGTAAGAGGCGGGCCGGGGGACGTCACGTCGTGACAGTTGGCGGTATCACAGGATGGCGTGGTTCGTGCGCACCTCGAGGAGTAAAACGGAGAAGGTCGTACGAGCCTCAAGTGCCGACGAGCGCGGCGAAAGAACGAGGTCGCGTGCAAACGCGCTCGCGACTCGCGCGCTTTCCTTTTCGTTCCGCGTTGCGTCTTTGATTCGCACGCTCGTCCAATTAGTTCGAAATAGATCGATCGTGCGCGCTGTGACGACCGTGAAAGCCACCGCGCCGCTCGCGTGTCCGAAAATACCTCGCGATATTTATGGATGTCTCGATACATTGAAATATTGATATGTCCCTGATATTCTCGTGTATTATACATTGTACGTGTGGTTTTATTTTTTTACGAAACAGAAATTGAATTGAAGATTAGTTTTTGCCGCAGATTTAATACAGGTTTTTAAAAACAAGCTCTACACGTGGTATCGATTATCGAGTTTAATTTGATGAAGCGAACATTGGTAGAAATAATCTCCAAAGGTTTTAATTATTAATTGGAATAACATTTACAATTATATACAAATTGCATCGTTATATATGTAAAGGCCTGTGTCCACGAACTTGCTGGAACCTGGTTCAGCCTTTATGGAATAGCTGCAGGTTGATTGGGCTACACATTTCTCGAGACCAGAACCTGAACCAAGTTCTAGCATCGCGGGCACAGGTCTTTATAACAAAAAGATTCTAGAGACGAATCCCTTCCGTTGATTTTGCTCCCAAACGCAAAGACCCTCGGCCACAGCTCCCGGGGCGGATTTAAAAACATTTCTCGCTATGATTCCTTCCGACGATTCGATCGTGATTTAACGAGCGCGGGGCCGGCGCAGAGGTCCTTCTCTCTCGCGAACATTCGCTGGCACGTGCGCGTGTTAACGACTGATGGGTCGGTCGGTCGGTCGCGTTAAAGCTTTAAAGGGGTTTTCAGCACCCCTCCGCTCGCGTTCTCGCGCTCGTCCGAGGCCGTCGAAAGGGAAAGCGGAAGAGGGATGCGGCGGCGGTGGCTGTTGCTGCGACGACAACAGAGCGAGGGTGCGCGGCGGAGACAGCAACGACAGGAGCGACTGACACACAGAAGGGATGAATGTTCGCGCCGCTCGCGTACCACTCGTATCGATCGACTTGCAGCATAACATCACGCGCGCTCGTTACCAATGTAATGCAGACGCGTGGGAGGACCCTTTCGATCAGAGATACGCGGGTATTTTCGGTATCGCTCTCGTGTTCCGCCGACGCTATCGCGCGATACGCGTTTTGTGCAAATTGCGATTCTTGTTGTCTTTCGCTCGCAAATTCTAAAAGTGATTACGACAATTGTCCATCTACATTCTCTGTATATATGTAGATTTTTGTGAGTTCGCACACTTTGTCCATTCAACAATTGTCGTTTAATCTTTGCTTGCGTATAAAATACTAAATAATCACGTTGCCTCTACTTACAATACCATCTATAAAATAATCCACAAGTAATTAGGCGTGCCGATATTTTTTAAGTATCATTTTCAAAACGAGCAAGCTGCGAAAGAGCATGAACTTCTTTATTATTTCTACAATAGAGAAACTTTGATGACGGCATTCTCAAAAATAGTATGATGGCGATCGAAACTCGCCCGAGCGAGTCAATATCTCAAAACGAGAATCGATGTCATTCCACGAGTAAAAAAATTTATTAAAATATACAGGATGTCCCAGGAAGAAAGGTCAATATTCTGGGAGGTGGTAGTATCGGTCATTTTAAGCAAAAATGTTCATATGAATATATGTCCCATTCCCCACTGGTTCCGAGATAGAGCTATTTGAAAGTACAGTTGCAAAATTACTGACAAGAAAGAAGTACTGTCGTGCAAGCGTGGGACAACGTGGCATTTTGAAGAACTTTATGAGAGTTTTCTTAAATATGGTATGGTGCAATTTAAAAAAAGCTGTCATAACATCCTTCGAAATGCCGTGTTGTCCCACGATTACACGATCGCTCGGGATAAATTTTCAGAGAAAATTCTCTCCCCGTGCGTAGAAACAGATCCTGAGGGGACCCAGTCCTCTCAGTAAGTGAACCTAAGCGGCCCGAAAAACCTTGAAATCGCTTTTATTTCTTACACGCTTATTCTCTCGCGACATATTGTTATATTTCGCGTTTCCGTACTGTATTATGTAACGATTGCATTTTTCGCCCGGGAGCGAGGCTGACCCGGGCGAGAAGCGGACAGCCCGGATACGCGAGGACGAACGAGAGAAGGTGAAAGAGTGACGAGCGTGAGGTCGTTCGGTCGATCGATCGGAGATAGAGTTAACCGGCGAGCGACGAAGGGACGAAGTTCGCTCACGGGCTGATGTCGGTGCTCGAAACGCTATAGCGGCTCGCAAAAGCCCGCGGACGGCGATGTTGTAACAGACTTTATGACTCCCCGAACCACCTCGGTGGACCATAAAACCGCTAGTCGCTGTCGCAGTTGCACAGCTCGCTCGATACCGCTGCGCTCGGCTCGCTCGCTCGAGAGACGTGACGCTGCCGTCATCGTCCTCGTCGCCGTCCCCGTCCTCTCCGTCGCTCGCTCGATTGAAATTGCAGTTTCAGAAAAGGGTAAACTTCGCCGCATCGATCGCTCGGCTCGCTCGCGGGTATTATACGCTCCGAGGAACTTGCACCTCCCGAGCTACCCTTCTCCCGGGACGTCAAAGTCACCCGGCGACGACAAAGCGGTATTTCGAGGAGCCTCGTGGATGTAACTTGGCCCCAGCCCGCTCGATTCCACGACGCAGCAGTTTACGCGACCGACGAGCCGCTGCAACGCTCGTTGATTTTCGCCGCCGAGATAACGGGGTAATAATCGCGGACGCCGAAATCGAAAGCGACCGTGTATCCCGCG